TCATCTTCACCCAATCATCCGTCGCATTTAGTAAAGTGAAGCCAAACTTTAGAGCGCGTTCATGTTCTTCTAGTCAGGAATTCAGAGTTTCGAGGAGAAAGCGAACGCACCATTAGCGAAACAGAAGCTAACAAATCAAGCTAACGTTATCGTAAACATTTTATTTACCTACCAGAGCTGCTCTGTTTACTACTCGCTCGCAGCGACCGATGACATAACGCTCTTGCACATGCACAGCTGTCTAGGCAAGTTCTCGTTGTGAAGGACGGTTACCGAAACGAGGCACCGTTTCTAATGAAGTGAATCGGTGCTCGGTCGGTACTGTGGAATTCGGTCGGTACCTTAAAAAGTACCGAATTCGGTACCCATCCCTTTGTGCCATCAATAACAAAAACAGGAAGCATAAAGTTCACCTCTCCATTCTAAAATTCTACATAATAAAATAAAACAAATAAACTTGCAATCCTTTATTATTATTATTTGTTGTTGTTTTCTTAAACAGTTTAGTAAAAGTTGTTTGTTTACCTTACATGTTTCAACTAGTAGCTCTAGCCTGCCTCAGAGGGCGCTGGTGATGCTTATGCAGATCCAGGGCCTCCTCTCTACTGTGGACAGACAGCAGGACTCTTGACTAGCTGATGTCTCACATGGACATGTCCACTTCTTTTACCTTCTGGTTTTGGACGAGACCGTTGTTTAGTTTGTGCTGCACCAGAGCAGCGGAGTACTGATTTGTATGTTGTATGGTTGCTATTCCTTCATTCTGAGATGTTTCTCCTGTTTCTAGAAACTCCTTTGGTTTTGAGGGACATCACCAGTGGTTACATCTCTTTCAGCTTCTACTGCATAGTCTGGTTCAGGTTTGGACTTTGACTGGACCACTACAGAACCTTGATTGTTTTATTTCTAGCTGTTCTATTTGGAATCGTGGTTCTGTTTTATGACCCAGTTTGGTCCAATCAGACTTTAAAAGACTTTGGCCTATAGAGGACTATGGAAGGGGGAAGCCCAAACCATCAGCCCTCCACCACTGTGCTCAAAGGTGGTATTAGCCATTTGTGATGACTTGCAATGCATTATGGGCAGTGATGGGAAGAATGGTGTGTAAGACAACTGTGTTATATTAGAAGTTTGATTTTTCAGTAATCTGATTACTTTCTTCTACTGTGAATCTGGTCTGGTGTAGTCAGCACAATCTTGAACTTAACACCCTTAAGACTGTGGAGATGGTTGTGGGTTTTAGGAAGCTTCCCACGGTGCTGCCCCCCCCCCCCCCCCCCCACACACAATATCCAACAGCCCAGTGATAATGGTGGACTCATTCAAGTTCTTGGGAACTATCATTTCCAGGGATCTGAAGTGGGAAACAAACATCAACTCCATCATCAAAAAGGCTCAGCAGAGGATGTATTTCTTACGGCAACTAAGGAAGTACGGCCTACCACAAGAGCTGCTGATCATCTTCTACACTGCTGCAGTCGAATCCATACTTTGCTCATCCATCACTGTCTGGTTTGGGTCAGCCACAAAAATGGACAAATGCAGACTACAGCGCATTATTAAAACAGCAGGAAAAATCATTGGTGCCCAGCTGCCCTCTGTCCAGGAACTGTACATCAGCAGGACCAGGAAAAAGGGAGTGAATATTGTCCAAGATGCCACACATCCTGCATCTACTCTCTTCCATCTCCTCCCATCTGGCAGACGCGATAGATCGCTGTACACAAAAACTACCAGACACAAGAACAGTTTCTTTCCTTCAGCCATTTCTCTCCTGAATCTGTAGATTCTTTTACGACGGTGGCACAGGAGTTAAGTGCTCGCCCCGCAATCGGCAGGTTGCAGGTTCGAGCCCCGCTCAGTCTGTCGCTGTCGTTGTGTCCTTGGTTAAGACACTTTACCCACGTTGCCTGCTGGTGGTGGTCGGAGGGACCGGTGGCGCCAGTGCTCGGCAGCCTCGCCTCCGTCAGTGCACCCCAGGGCAGCTGTGGCTACAATGTAGCTCATCCCCACCAGTGTGTGAATGTGTGTGTGAATGGGTGAATGACTGGTTGTGTTGTAAAGCGCCTTGGGGGGTCCCAGGACTCTAGAAGGCGCTATATCAAATACAGGCCATTTACCATTTACCATCCTTTTATTATAGTTTTTAATACTTATTCAGTATGCTTATGGATATGTGTGTGCATGTGCGTGCGTGCGCGCGTGTGTGTGTGTGTATGTGTGGGTTTGTATATATGTGTGTGTGTAAATGAACATGTGTGTGGGTATACATGTTCTTATGTGTTTTTAGGTATTTTTATTCTCATTTATTATGGTTGTTGTCTGTTTTAGAGAGCGAACATCTACCGAAGACAAATTCCTTGTAAATGTAATTTTACTTGGCCAATAAATCTGAAATCTGAGCTGCGGGTCTCTGGGTCTGCAGCCGTACCCTTCTTGACATGAAATCGAGACGTCCCGTGTAAGGAACAACTGCTCACCCGTTCACCACTCTGACATA